GTACAGATTGTTTTCCGTTCTTTATTTACCCTTTAAAGATTTACAGTAAAAGTTCAATAATATCTCAATGCACGTTGTTGCAGAAAAAGCAGGAACGCGCGCAAGCGAAAAAAAGGGCGTCCTGATATTTGGGGAAGAGAATCGCCTAAACAAAAACGGCAGCATGGGAAAATTGATTTTCAATATTCTCCACTCTTACTTCATATCCTCTCTATGAATCCTGTGTCTGAATCTCCTTAAAAAACTTATGAAGTAAACACCGTTGGTATCGAGGTTTTTTTCCAAACCCCATCGCACTCCATAAGACTCTACTCTCCACCAGTCTTTCTCGTCAGTTCTGTAACCGAGCTCGATAAACGAGCTTTGTCGAGCTCGATTAGTTATCGAGCTCGATAAGTTATCAAGCTCGATAAGTTATCGAGTACGATTAGTAATCGTACTCGATTAGTAATCGTACTCGACTTGTAGTTATCGAGCTCGATTATGAAACGTGGTTTGCTTATCGAGCAGGAATGGTAATCGAGTACGACAAATGCATATCGGGCTCGGTTGCCCAGGAACAAAATGTGATCCGTAGATTCTATGCCTTTCAGTGGGGAAAAGATGACGTCTGCTGTATGATCTTTAGGTCAACTAAGTTTTAAGAAAAGAATAGGGGTCTCATTCGTATATAAATGTAGCAAATTGTACAATTTTAAACTTAAGTCGACTTGACGTCATGTGTTGTGAAGGCCGCATAAGTTGTCGCTTAATAGCTTAATAGCTAAATAAAAGTAAGTCAGTGTTATGTTTGTGTTTCATCTTCAAGAACCGATTTTGTAGTACACTGGAATGAGTGGCAAGGTGATTTTTACTGCTGGTCGTCAACAGGCGACTAACCTGGGCGTCCCGGCAGTGATCTTGGCAGGTGCTAAAGAAATAGAGCAATCATTCCAGGTTCAATATATGCGGGCTTGCAAATCATAAGTAGATCTCTCTATCGAAGCAACAGACAATATGAGTGGATTTTGCATTTTTGTTGTCAGTAAATTCTTGAGAACTTTTAAGCGACCCTAAAAAGTCAAATGAACCAAAATTTAGACATCTTTTTATTTGAGTCTAATGTGTTGAATAAGTATGAAATAAAGACTTTGTGAATTTTAAAACGAATTGGTCGAGGCATTGCGGAGATATTTGAATGTGAAATCACTCTTCTCTTTTTAGCCTTCATCATTGTAGAACGGTCGGGAAAATTGACGGAAAATTGTCGGAAACAAAACGTGTGACGCCATTGTTGGCGAGGAAAATGGTTTTGTCAGTAAACCTCAGAGAAAACCAGGGATTTTTGTGTGGCAATTTATTGCACAAACAACTCAAAACCCTGCGTTAGCTCGTTTACGTTTTCCCAGGATCCAAAACTCGAAGAATATGGATTATAAAAATGAAAAGAGAATGTTTGACGAGGAATTCGCGAGTTTAAGAACACCGTCTTTAACGAAGACAGCTTCCGAAAAAAATCTCGCTGCAACGAGTTTGTTGGGTCCTACTTAAAAATTTAAACCTCGTCGCCTTTAACTCAAGAGAGACGAAGTACCAACAAACTTTAACTTCAATATGGAATGCTGTGAGCCGAAAAGAGACGAAAAGCAAAGGAAGGATGTCCTTCGAGTTTGATAAACGGAACTAGCCGATGTGCCCTACGTTCAGCTTTGTTTGTCTAATTATACGTATCAGTAGTTTAAAATATCTGTATAATTTCTGTCATCGTGAACTTGGCTTGAGACTGATGTTATCCTCGCAAGAGTCAGCTTCAGTCATAAATAGTTTTTCTCCCATGTGTTTCGTTGGAGAGTAAGAGAGAAACTAATGGATCAAAATATTAAATATCAATATTTTTGCGTTATGCTAAGCTGTTTTACCTGTTAATTCTCGATACAGGGTTAACACGTGGCTGCAGGAGGGTTTCGTGCCAAACATGCTGTGTTCCAAGATAATGTAATTATCAATTTCTTTTTTTCTTTCCCACATTCCTCTTGTTGTAATCACAGGCTCCAGGCAATCAAAGAACTAGAAACAGTCATCAGCAGCAAGTATTTGTTAAAGGACATTCCCAAGTCATCTTCTTCCCAACTGATATCCCTAGTGGAACTTTCACACAAAGTGGACATTCATGTCTACTTTGCTCCAAAACACGCATATTAATTCTACCAGGGAATGAAAGCGAGTAAGCCTGTTACATACCACTGATTACATCGACTGTGAATTCAAAGAAGCTGCATATTTTGGGCACCAATGAATATGTTTGAAAACAACATGAACCATGAAGTACGATGATATGGAGTCTTGCAGCAGTAAAACTGCACCATTTTACTTGTTTTATCAAAACCCAAAACAAGCTCATGTCTTTTGTAACATTACAAGCTATGGTCCATTGAATACCTGATTGTCAGCGGTTAGCGGACAAGATGGCTGCTTATTTCTTCGCTCTTGAGGAAATTGTACTCAATTTGGGTCTAGTGCTCTGTAGCGTGT